CAACTGAAAGGCTTCTGTCCTGTATGAGTCTTCTCATGATCATTCAAATTACTTTTGCATCGAAAATCCTTGTGGCATATCTTGCAATAAAACGGCTTCACTGCTGTATGAGTCTTTTGATGGTCTTTCAAATTGTCTTTGGAACGAAAATCTTTCATGCAGATCCGACACTGAAAAGGCTTTTCTCCTGTATGGATTGTTACATGTTTTTTTAAATTCCCCAATTGTTTAAACGACCTTAAACAGACTTGGCATTGCAGTGATTTTGGAGCTTTACAATGAAATGATTTCAAATGCTTCTTCTCGTGGGTTTTTAAATTACCTTTCGAACTGAAACCTTTCGGGCAGATCTTGCATCTAAAAGGTTTTTCACCTGTATGAACTAATTCGTGTCTTTTAAAATTGCCCATCTGATTGAAAGATTTCGAACAGAAATTGCAGTGGAACGGCTTTTCTCCTGTATGAGTCAAATTATGGTCTTTCAAGTGCGGTAACCGGCCAAATGATTTTGAACAGAATTCACAATGGAATGGTTTTTCACCTGCATGAATTTTCTTGTGTATCAACAGATTACTTTGGTGCCAAAATGCTTTCGGGCAAATTTTGCAGCAAAATGGTCTTTCTTCTGTATGAATATTTTTAGTGTTCAACTTCTCTCCAGAAGTCTTGCCTTCGTCAGTATGATTAATTTCAACAAAAGGTTTCGAACAGGAGTGAGTTGAGATTTTGCCACTTCTCAAAGATGAGGCAGACTCTGCAAATTCATCTTCATAAATTTCTTTTTTTACTTCAGGAAGCAGAAATTTGGAATCTGAAATATAAACATGTTCATTTAATTATACTGGAGGAATGATTCTAAAACACTAAATTAATTTTGTTTCTGTTCAATTGTTACAAACTAAATAACTGAAATGAAACCAGATAAATGTAACAACTTGAGGTGTCAAAATCTATTGTTTAATAGCGAACAAAAAATAAAAAAATCACTGTCGTGTCCGTGATAGGTAAATTTATTATTTAGCACACGACGTTTATCAATGATGAAATTTATTAACACTAAAACACTATAACTAACAAAACACAAAATATACAAGCCCAC